AACCCTAAACCCTGAACCCTAAACCCTAAACCCTAATAACAGCCACAGGGCCCACAGGGGGAGGGCACATCCAGGATTCCGGAGTTGTGCCGCCCCTGCTGCATCATCCGAAGCATGGCCAAGTCCGCCTTCGACATTTAGGGTTTAGGGTTTAGGGGTAATTGTAAGAGTGTAGGGTTTAGGTTTTAGGGCTTCGGGGTAATTGTAGGAGTGTAGGGTTGAGGTTTAGGGTTTAGGGTTTAGGGGTAACTGTAGGAGTGTAGGGTTGAGGTTTAGGGTTTAGGGTGTAGGGGTAATTGTAGGAGTGTAGGGTTGAGGTTTAGGGTTTAGGGTTTTTTCCCTGAATTTAGGCGTAATTGTAAGAGTGTAGGGTTGAAAAGGGTTTAGGATTTAGGGTTTCGGGTTCTGGGGTTCAAAAGATTTATTATGAGGATTCTAGAAGGGAAGCTTGAGGCCGTGCAGGCTTTAGGGGGTTAGGGTTGCGTGGGGGTTTAGGGATTTTGGAACGATAGCACTTCTTCCTGCAAAAGACAGACGACCTCGCGCAGGCCTCGGCGAATTGGGGAAGTCAGAGTCCAACACAGATGATGGCAGAAGCGGAGCTACAATGGTAAAGTGTTAAGAAATGCGACGAAGGTGAACCCTAAACTTCCTAAGCCCTAAACTTCAAACCCCAAAGAGTCGCAAGACAAAGAGCACGGGCAGGTCGACCCATTCGCGACTTGCTCAAAGACACCGGGCATGCTCTCACTACGTAGCACCGCATCGAAAGCTCCGCGAACCAAGGTTAGAGCATAGAAGCACGAGGAGGGCGGTGGGGGGGTGGGGTGGGGAAGGGGGGTGTTGATAGGACTGATAGGCTCCAAGAGGCATCGGCAGACTAAGAGTAGACCTGTGTTTGTCGCTCCCATGGGGCCGAACGGTTTAGGGTTTTAGGGTTTTAGGGTTTAAGGTTTCGGGTAGGACATACAGCTCAAATTCAAACCTTGACGCAAAGTTCGCTTGCCAGCGTCGTTGCTGCGCTGGCGTTTGCTAAACCATGACCCTTTGCGCTTCGGACATGCGGAACTCTAGATCATGCAAGAGCTGCTTCCACGTAAGCAGCCGAGTGATGAGTGAATGATCGTGAATGTGTGTTCATATGTACGAACACACGCACTCACCACTACATACATACATACATACATACATACATACATACATACATACATACGTACATACGTACATACGTACATACGTACATACGTACATACGTTACATACGTACATACGTACATACATACATACATACATACATACATACATACATACATACATTACATTACATTAATACATACATACATACATACATACATACATACATACATACATACATACATACATATATAAGTATACACATACACATACATGCATATACATACGTATATATATATAGATAGATAGATAGATAGATAGATAGATAGATAGATAGATAGGTAGATTGATAGATACATATACACATAATTAAACATAATGTACATATATATATGTATATATACATATACACACATATATATATATATACATGTATATGTATATGTATATTTTTGTTCTATACTTGCAGCAACATCAGCGAACTCATGTGTGCATACACAGCTACACATGCATGTACATGTAATTCTGCATACATAAATACATAAAATACATACGTACATACATACGTGCATACATATGTGCATACATATACACACACACACACACATATATATATATATATATACGCACATGTGTACATCTACATCTACATCCAGATCTCATATCCATACACATACGCATAGACAGTTGCTACACATACAAACATGCGAAGATGCCGCTTGTCGAAGTGTGCATGCCGAATCCCCCTCATCCCTTTTCTGGAGACGGGTGTGTAACAACAATGCTTCAAACCATCTATCCGTCAACGAACCCAGACAGCCAGCCATGCATGCAAATGCATGTAGCCCTTGCCATCTAAAGCACTGAAGTTTGGACCCTAGTCCAAAGAAATCACGAAGCCTATGGGAGGTTCCGGATAGAGAAAGCCTTGTTCAAAATGAAGTAGATCAGCATTTCTGGCGCCAATGTGCCACAGCGGATTGAGATACGCTCTACCCGCCCTAATTTCGAGCGAACCCAACCTCATAGCGGTCCGCCAGTCGTCGATGAAGCTCCCAAAAAGATTCGCCAGAGGCCTGGGTGCACTTTCAAGTTCGGCCAGGCCGAACATCTTCGGATGTGGGCGTTTAGGGTTGAGTGTCTTGAGGCTTCAGGTGACTAGACGGCCTACAGTATACTTGTAGTATGTAGTGTCGCTCCTGCGGTTTAGGACGGTTTCGGGCATAAAGGTTCTGTCTGCCTTCCAGGCCGTCAGTGCTTAATGTTAACTCACCTTCAATCCTAAACCTTAAACGCTAAAGCTCTAAACCTTCAAAACTAAAGCATCATATAGACCCTAGCACCTAAACCCTCACTAAAAGCCCACATAAACCCCCGAATCGAACTCTCAACTTTAAAACCCCATGTAAAACCTAAAGGGTTCAATTTAGCATTCAGCGCCAGCCGTTGGGCCAGGGCTTCTTAATCAGGTTCCTATCTTAGGGTTTACGGGGGTTTAGGTTCAATGAGACTTCGGCCGCTCACTTCCCTTCAATGGACGGAGAGACGAGTGCGAACAGTATTTACAATGAGCCAAGCCTTAGGGGCTGAGTACCCTAGCCCAAAAAAGGTTAACCTTTTGAAATATAGTAGGATTATAAGAGCCCCAAAAGGTTAAAGGTTACCTACCCAGCCACTAAGAAGCGATTCATGGAGCATGCGCCTTTTGCGCATGCCTTCCAGAAGCCCACTCAAAATTACCCCAACTCGTGAACGAAAGAACGGTTTAGGGTCAAGCCTTGTTTGTTGGTTCGCCTCGTGTTGGAAACGACATGCCCTAGAACGATGACCTGCAGCTCCGTGTTGCAGTTCCTGGTCAAGCCGTTGTGGGGAAATGTGTTGCTGCTGTGCTTCTCGGAATAGCATCTTGAAACTGTCATGTCATGCTTGTTCGTTCGGATTCTTGCACTACTTTGTTTTGGATCATCACTATCCAGACTATCCACTATTCGAATTACCGAGGTCCCAAACAGTCTCTACGACAGCTATTTATCTTGTTTCCTGATGCTGCCAGTATACATCTGTTTTACCCACAGCTTCGAAAACGAGCACGAACATGCTAGTCTGCTCGAAAACAAGAATCCGACAGGCGCAATGCAAAAAACTCCATGCAGACATACGTACAAGACGCAAACAAACAACAAGTCATCTACTGCAAATAGTGATGACCATAACCTGACGAAAGTTTGAAGTTTAAACACAACTTGGTTGGATACCGGATAAGTGTATGAAAGGTGAAAGGTGAAAACTATATACACCCACACACGATCCAAACACAAACACCCGGCCGAGTTACATTCATTCTGTCCCACGCTGGCGGCGGAAAATTAGACATACTGGCAATGGGCTGCAGGGAGCCGGAAGCGAAGCGAAGAGATGCCAGGAAAAGAAAGCCTTAATAGTTAGAATAGGGTTCTGGAGCTTCCTCATAGTATAATATACTCCAAAACCCTATTCCAACTTCCTTAATTATAGTTTAATATACCCCAAAAACCCTACTCAAATTATTAAGGCCCCTATATTATGTACCGTCAGATACGGTGCCCTGTAGGCCCTGTCGGCCTTGCGCAACTTATGCAAGCGCAAGCCACGTCACGGGGAGCAGCGGGTTTAGGGCTTAGGGGTTTAGGGCTTTAAGGGTTTAGGGTTTTCAGGGTTAAGGGTTTAGGGTTTAGGGCCCTGGCCCTGCGGATCAGGCTTGAAGACCTCCTTTGTTCCGCTTCCTAGATTACCCGAAGAAAGTCAAGCCTCCTGTCTTCAGGATCTTGTTTGCAGGAGAACGGGCCGCTGAGTATAAGAAGCCCTCACTACAGAACTCTTACTTAGGGGCTGAGTACCCTAGCCCAAAAAAGGCTAACCTTTTCAGTTATCGTAAGATCATATAAGCCCCAAAAGGTTAAAGGTTACCTACTCAGCACCTGAGCTTAAGGAAGGTAAATGGTTAGTTCTCGAAACTAGGGTCCCCATTAGCCTCGCTCTCATTTGGGTGCCGGTTTAGGGTTTAGGGTTTAGGGTGCCGCCTTCTTTGAGGTTCCCAATCAGGGACCCTGATGTAGAGAACTACCCATGAAGTTGTATCGGTTCACTAAGTACGGATCCCCGAGGCCCCGAAGGTTTGAGGCTTTAGGCTTAAGGTTTAGGTTTCTGGGTTTAGAGAATGATGAACGCCTTGCAGTTGCGAGAGGAGGCCTTGGCAACCAAACGATTCGGATGGAAGAAACCGGTGGCTGCTCTGCAACTTCAGCTGTAGAAGATGCATACGTAGATTGAGACAGCTCACACAGGAAACTCGCACGAAGCCTAGTTCTATGTGGAAACTAAAGCAGACAAAGAGAAAACGAACATTATCACAAATGCCTGACAGCTGGTGGTTAAGAGCAGACCATATGCCAAGTACTTGTCCTGATTCAGATAGCAATATGCATGCCGATGGAATTGCTGATGTCCGGACATAGCGACATCAGGCTTGCATCGAAAGGGAATTGAACTTCAGCTACCACAATAAGTAGGGAAATCATATTATTTACTATACACATCTATAAACCCTTCTACCGGTAACTGGAATTCTAAATTCTAAATTGCTTGCCAAGAACCCTGAATCTAAAAGGCTCATGTTTCGAGAGGATCATACTGGCTGCGGGGGCTTCGGCAAGGCAATCGTGAGATCTTTTAACCTATAACCACTCTAATCGGTTCAGGGCTTTGGGGTCGGGGTTCAGGGTTCAGGGTTTGGGGTGTTGGTCATCGCCGGCAGTTCTCAGCTGTCTTGTCCGGATGTTGGAAACTGAAAAACGGCTAGTGTTCCAAACCCAGAGAATGCAGCTGGACCTCATTCGTCACGGAGGCCGCTGCGAAGGTTTCGGCGATTTCCTCAGCTTCTGACATCATCTGCCTGTCAAAAAGAACATCGCAACAACCATACACACTTAGAAGGTATATAACTAAGCACAGTCCCTTTGTGGAGCTGCGGAGGTACTACATCTAGATCTATGCTGTCTGAACCCGGAAGTCGAACAAAAAGCCCGCCCCCTTCCCCGAATTCGACCCCATCTAGCTTGGCATGGCTCAGAGTTACCCTATGCTGCCAGGGACCTTCCTCTTGGGTCCTTCAGGGGCCTAAGGCCCCAACTATAAGGGTTAGGGTTTAGGGGTTTAGGGTTTAGGCTTTTATAAGGGTTAGGAATCGCTTGGACTGTAAGAGTCTGGGGGTTCCGGGGTTTGCGGAAGAGTATTCACCAGGGATTTTTGGCCTCTGGGTTGCTGGTTTAGGAGGTTGACATGCTCATCCCCAGTCAAGAAAGTGGTTATCCAATTTAAGGTCTCTTTTGGGGCTCCCAAACTACTGGGTGCCGTATCAAGAGTAGAATGATGTAGGTACTCATATAGCCGGTAGTCAAGGTTCGGAAACCCAGCTGGGCGTCATCAACAGTAGCTCAAGCGGTTAATGTAGGGGCATTAATGATTTGAATAGGGTTTTGGGCGCCTTTATAGTATAATGATAACAAGGAGCCCTAAGGAATAATATTGGTAATTATTCAGGCTTCTATATGGGGGTTTCCGAAAATAGGGGACCCTAATATAGTACCCTAAATAGTAGGATCCTTATTGTAAGGACCCTAAAATAAGGTACCCTAATTTTCGGAAACCCCCATATTATTACAAGTAGAGGCTTGAAGCCTTGCTGAACAGCCCACCCTGCAGAATGCACAACACGAGCAACACCCCCAGACCCGACCAAAACCCTGAAGCCCGACAAAAATCAACTATGCCTATGCAGCCCTGTCCCGAAACCCTGATAAAGCCTGATGCCCCTCAGGTCGGAGAGGAAACTTGGCAAGCAGGGTTCTTTTTTTTTTTAAAGTGCAGTGACTCCCTTTCTCCACAGGGTTCTTTTTAGGGGCTAGGGTTTAGTGGTTTAGGGTTTAGAGTGGTTTCCAGGATGGTTTCCGTGCAGTCCAGCGACGGTCAAGGCCCCCGGGAGCATGACCGGCAGTTCCCTGTCATGCAAAGAGCCACTAAATCTGAGGCGGTTTAGGATTGAGGGTTGAAGGTTTAGGGCTTAGGGTTGAGGGTTTAGGGCTGAGGATTTTTGGTTTAGCTGCGCTAGTAAGACTGTTATCAAAAAACCAGTTCAGAGGCCCCAGGTAGAATTCCATCGATAGGGGCAGCTCAGGGTGGCGGCCTCTCCATGCGGTACGCGAGCGCTCGCCAGGCGCGCCGGTCGTCCTGCTGGAAGTGGGCCATGCACTTGGCCTGGATGTGCAGGGCTGTTTGAGCGATCTATGACTCTGAGCCTAAACCTAAAGCTCGAACTAGGACACACAAATCCTATTTTAAACCCTCAATTGTCCTACATTGGACAGCATCGGTAAGGCTTTTGATGTGTGTGCGTGTGTCTTCGGAGTCGGACGGATTCCATTCAGACACGTACACAGAGACTCCAACCGTGCTTGTGCGGGGTTTCTTTGTTCTGAATCCCTGTTACGATGTACTGAAAATTCTGAATCAAGGATATACTGGATCCCTACTGCTAGTATGCCCTGAAGTTCCTCCAAGTGTCCGGAATGCAACAGGGCTTTCTCAGCTTTCTCGTGTAGGAATCCATCTGATTTTCGACTGCCTGGACCCTATAAAGCCTACCTTTTAGAACAACTTCCTCATAATGTAAATCCTTAAAAAGGTAGGTTTTTGGGGGTTAAGGCAGGCACTACAACCAGACGAAAGCCTGAAGGTCGTTCGCCTAAAAGGGCCGGGACCTTCATAGAAGCCTATGTTCAGCAGTTCTTCGGCCCTGGCTTAGTAACATTACCAATGATATATTCCGACTGCCTAGGGGTTAGGGGCTAGGACTTCTGGTTGAGATCTCAAATCATGTGCAACCATGATCTGCCCTAAAGCTCTTTCGACAATTTCTGGCGCTGCTCTAGCTTGGGATTTGGGACCGTCGGACAATAAGGGACCCAGGGAATTACATAATGGACCCGACATGGCAGGCGGGATGATGCTTTATAAAAGGATGACCAACAAGCAGCGCCCTCCAATTGTACCTAAATGCATGAAACCCCGATTGCCTTTTCTTGACGACAGGGCTTGAACCGACGGGCCCAAGCAGCTGTTGCAACACGGTACCTCAATCTACGTTGCCGTCGTAAGACATTTGGCCCCTCTCTCTTTATGTGCGTATATGCATATGTATCTAAGCAAGTAAGTGAGTAAGTAAGTAAGTAAGTAAGTAAGTAAGTAAGCGAGTGGGTGAGTGAGTATGTATGTATGTATGTATGTATGGACATGGTTATGTATACGACTATGTATATGTACATGTGTAAAACTCTGTATGTGTATGTACGATATAAAAGATCTTTCATCAATGTTTTGTATTTGGCATACTACTGCGCCTGTCCGAAAGTTCGTCGCACTCTNNTGTCCAAGACCCCTTTCCCCCCTAGACTCCTCCAGAAGTCTCCACCCGGAACAATTATAGTATTATTATGTCATTCGGGTTTGATAATTCCTCCGCTAGCCAGGCTAGGGTATTCCTCACCTCCTGTACTCCGTGTACTCCGTTCAGTGTCTCTAGCGGATGCGACGAAACTTTGTTACCGGACATGTGTTGATTTACTCAACTTTATGGGCAACTTCAGCGGACAAATCTTAAACACTTGAGAAGCTTTTATACCATATACAACACCAAAATCCTCAATAACAGATACTCTAAAGGCTCGATAATAAGAATTCAGACTTTAATGTAAGCAAGCTTTCACTTTTCCGCCATTCATAGCTACAATACCAACGAGCCTGAACATGTCGGTTTAGGGCGTACTGCAAACCGGCAAAAGCCCGCATTGTAGGGTTCACGGCTGCAGGGTCTAATGTAGGGCCTTAATCATTGTTCAAAACGATTTATAGTATATTCATAGTAAGGAGCCTTAACAATAATATGGGTAATTGTTTAGGCTTCTATATTAAGGTTTCCGGCTCTAAACGGGGCTTTGGGATTTTGGAGGGCGTAAGGCTTTAGGGATGACCCCGAGAGCTGCAGTTGTCCGAATGTAACGGCTTAATCATGTAATACTAGTAAAATAAATGGGAGTAACACCAACAGAGAAGACGCACCAAAAAGAACATAGAAAGTTCAGACACAACAACAACAATAACACTACCGCACTATGTATGCAAGTAAGCCCCTAGGGTTGTCTTGAATGGGATTCTTAGAGAAGCCCAGGGACTCCAACCCATACCCGAAATGGAAAGTTCCTGAATTGAAGATCGCCCTTGGTGAAGGTCGGCTTCTCCCTTTGCCAAGAGGCCGCGTCGACGAGGGCCTGCTTTGAGGATTACGTCGTTCCGAGATCTAGACTTACAAGGTTTAGATGGATAGCTAGGGGATGACAAGTAGCGATGCCTGACAAGTTGCAGGGTTCTTCTCTGTACGTTCTTGGTTCATTGAATGACGTACATAGCTGTTTATCAATCCTCTCAACGAGCTGGGTCGTCTCTATGGAGGATGAGATGGAGCTTCGAGTTCGGGGATGCTTGGGTTCTCAGGGAGACGGGGCGATGGAAAATTCTTGCGGCTTGAACAAGCCTGTCCCTTTGTGTATGAGCTTCCCTTTGGGAGTTCTTTACCTTCGTCATGAACCCCTTCATCCCTGTATCGGGGCGGAGAGAAGCTTGTTGTAGTTGTAAACCCCTGAAACGGTTTGACAGTGACCTAGACCTTAAATCCTGCAAAACCATATATAGGCTCTTTTTTGAACCCAGACTCTGCCAATCATCTGGGAAGCAGCACTTCCAGACTATTGCATAGACTTTGCAGGCCTCTCGCGTTCAAGGATTTAGGTTTGAGTTTGGCGGCGCTAATTCCCCACATGGGCCCTGAACCAAAAACCTTGCAGCTTTGCTTGAACTGGGTCGTACAACCCATGCGCCAAGGAAGAAAGCCGGAAAATGAACACAGTCCGACCTAAACCCTAAACCCTAAACNNCCTAAACCCACAACCCTAAACCCTGACAGAGCCCCCATGAGTCGCCAGGATGAAAGATTCCTGCGGCAGGGCCTACCCAGGCAGGCGTCAAATCTCCCGAAACCCCAATGGGTTTAGGGTTTAGGGTTTAGGGTTTACAGCTTCAACCCAGAGAGCCCTCAAACCTTTTAAACAAGGGATATACCTTAAATCAAAATATGAAGCCCCTTGTATTTTAAGGTATATTGCTTAATTAAAGGAAATAGCCTTAAATCATAATACTAAGCCCCTTATAGTTTAAGGTATATTGCGTAATTATGGGGTATCGGGCTCTCTGGGAACCCCTGGCCCTGACCTACAGAGCCAAGGAGGCCCACCGCAAACTCGTTCATGAAGGGCATGGGGGGTATATATTGCTGTAATCCTTTCCTGTGGATCCAAAAACCTATCGTTTTAAGGGTTAGACCCTCTAATTCAGGGGTCATAACCTACTATTTTGTAGGGTTTGGGGATACAAGTTTTTTTTTTGAACCCAGGCTCTGCTCCGACTCAGCTGGGAACGTCGGTAATCCCTATAAGCCCTAAATTAAAGCGTCGAAGTCCGCAAATCTTCCCTGACGCCTGGCATCGGCAACCTAAGCCGGCAATGCCTAAACTTCCAAAAGCCCTATGCAAGTGCTGCTACTATTTGCGGACCAGGGTTTAGGGTTTAGGGTTTAGGGTTTAGGGTTATTACTGTCATTGGTATAGTGCACTACACTGCCAACCCCTGTATTAGGCCCCTAGATTAAGTTGTTGAGGAGACTCAGGTTACAACAGTGTTCAATTCCAATGCGCTGGGGAAGCCCCACTGTACGGAGGCTGCGCCCTAATCAGTTCGAGTCTACATGCACACACACATATGTATATATACATAAATAAATACATATATATATATATATACATACATACATACATACATGCATACATGCATACATCTATATATATATATACCAGAAGGCAGCTAATTTCAGTTACACCGGCATGAAGCCAGCGTGTAGACTACGAAATGTCAAATGTTGGGCTTAGTGTTCTCAGGTTGAATGCTGCGGCTATGAATTGGTTGAGGGTTTAGGGCTTAAGGGTATTAGGGTTTAGGGTTTAGGGAAATGGGGGGCGAGGGCTTAAGCTCTTAGCTTCGCCTTGACTTGTGGACCAAATTTCGCCATTCAGCCAGGAAGTCTCGACGCACGTAAACCCATAAAGCCTTATCCTTACCTCTACCAATCTCGGCCTTATCCTTAAACCCCGCACCCTGATAAATCCCAAACCCCAACCCTAAACTGCCCTACCCACAGGACCCACAGTAGTGCCTTTTTGTGGCCTATATCTAGGATCATATTAGGTAGTCCCAAAAGGGAACTACTGTGGGGCCTATATGGGTAAACCCTACACCCAGCAAGCCCAAACATCCCGATCCTTAACGTCTACCTATAGTCTCCATTGTAGTTCCTTTTTTTGGTTTAACCAACTGCATACTATGGATCCTATAAGGTAACCCCAGAAAGGAACTACAATGGAGACTATAGGTACTTGAAGGATCATGGGACTTAGTAAGTAGGGTTATAACTAAGGTAGCTATACTGATAACCCCAATGAGGGGACTTATAACCTTACTTACTAAGTCCCATGGTCCTCCAAGTAGGCCTCCTGCAGAGTCAGACGGCTGAAAGAGAATTGCAGCGCCTTCGGCGTCCAAACCATGTCCCAGTCTTTTCCTCGAGAAGCCAAGTTTCAAGCTTACTTTGGGGTTCAAATCGGGGCCTTAACGGTTTAGGGTTTAGGGGTTTAGGGTTTAGGGCTTAATAATTAGAGTAGGGTTTTGGATGGTTTTGGGGTATGTTATGCTATATTTGTAAGAAGGAACCCCCCAAACGCACTTGGACAGGTTCCTCCTAACCTGCGTCTTACAGGACAGGCGGCTCCTGACAACCTCGAAATCGCACGCCCTCGTCAGTGATGTTTGGCCAGCCATGATAATGCACACCCAGACTCCATCCCTTCTCGCAGAGCATCCAGGGGCCAACCATGATAATAGTGTCCACTGAGGCCCCATCTCGCAGAGCATTAATGACCATGATGACCCAGACTCTATCCGTTCTGGTGGAGCATCATAGAGCATCCATGGGCCAATGGCAACCCTAATTGTAGAACCCTCCAGAGGTCTCCGACATGTGAAGGAGCTTATTGCAACGCACCCTGTACCCTGCTGACCCTAGAGACTATTAGTTTAGGGTTTACAACGTCTATAGACCCTAAACCCCAAACCTTGCCCCAAACCACAAAAGCCCTAAACTATTGTACCATAAACCTTACATCCGTCATGCCACCAAGGCACGAATCAGGTACCGCACGTAGGTGAGAAAGGACTCCGATCGCCTCGGTACACGAAATCCCCTAAGCTATATGTTCAAACTTCGGCCTTACAACCATTTGCTATATAGGTCCGTAAGGTCCTCAGGGATACGCTAAGCGACCATGAATTTAGTGTTGCACCCTTGAGGATCACTCCGGTGACGTGGGAAGAGCTTGGAGCCACTTGAATCTAGTTCGGGTTTAGGGTTAGGAGTTTGAGAGAGGACAGGACTTGGGATGTCACTATATGGTAGGAACCTCCTGATACCTATATAGTCCTATGAAAAGTATTTCTTGAAGTACCACAAGCATCCTCAGTATGGGAACCCTCAACGAAGTGGATTCATCTTCTGCCGGTTCTGCAGGGACCATACTTGCCCGACTCTTTCGCACAGCTCCTCAAAACATAGAATGCGGCATGTAGTAAATCTTAAGGGTCCGAGTGCCTAAATTGTATATACATTGCCCCCAAAGTGCCTATATGGGGACTACTTCAACTCCAAAGTATATAATTATTTGGGTATATGGACCCTTAGGGATTTTGTGGGCTCCGGCATCGCAGGCCATAGCAGTCCCCAACCAGGGACCCGGTGATCCGAGCCCTCACATCAAGTAAGAGCCATCGGCACTCGGGTGAGAAGCTTAAGGTTTAGGAGATTCGGGTTTTTTGGGGGGTGCAGAACTCAGTTTGGGGCATGAAGCGCCAGAAATTAAAACTGCCGGCAGGAAGAACAGTGGCGACCCATTCACAAATGCAGCAAGAACTGTTCATCACATGGCTGACCCTCGCCAGTAACAGTTTAGACCCCCGCACCTGAGCAATCTTGAAGTGGACAGTTTAATGGGGAGTGGGGAGGACAAGTTCTTGACCCTGCAATTGCTGGTGAGCGGCAGGGACAGAGAGACCGTCACGCCGCACAAGGTGCCCACATCACCTCAAACCATCGGAACCAGAAGAGCAGCACATCCTGATTTGGAGCTCGACCCTAAACACGAAATGCTTTACTTATCTGTACCATATGATCTATACTATCCTATGCTATCCTACAAAGTCATTTTTTACAATAACAAAAACAATGCTATACTAGACCGTACTACGGCATACTATAATCTGAAAGAAGATACGAGGCTTTCGGAGGTTTCGAGCTGTGGGGCTTAGACGGTACGGAGGTCCACCCCAGACGACAAGCAATCCCTCCCAACCCTCAGAGACTCCAGAGATGATCGATCATAGGGTTCAGGCTTTATAGGGTTCAGGGTTTAGGGTTTAGGGCATATAGGGTTTATAGGGCTTAAGGGCATGTAGGGTTAATAGGGTTTAGGGTTTACCGGGTTTAGGCTTTAGGGGTTTTGACACTCACACTCGGACAAAGCTGGCAAGGTCTGCAGCAATACTGTTCCAACGACTCACCTCGAAACAAACTCCGAAAACACCGGACAGGGGCCAAGATGCGGCCAGAGACCATGGACCCCGCCGCCTTCCGAACTGGCAGCTCCTGGCAAGAACCAAGCTTCTATGGCTCTACACGAGGGTTGAAGCAAGATATCGGTGTTGAAAGATAGAGTGGAGTTTAGGGTTTTGCGGATGTCTCGAAAAAATGTACTAGAGTCCGCTGAAAACGCTGGCTGCCCGGGACCACACACTTCGAGACATTCCGGTGTAGCACTATTACACCCCTCAGTCACTCGATGACCTACTTACCGAAAACACGCAACCGAATGGACTTACTGTTTCTGCGTATGACAGGTATCACTGAAGAAGTGGTATGCAATTCGTGCCCACACCTGACTGATTGGATAAGAGCATACCGCAGGGTCCGGGGTGAGTCTGTTGTACTGCATTAATGCAAACGCATTTACTGTGTTCATCCGCATTCATGATTACTAGAGAATGCAACCTCCGGCTAAACTCTCGAACGTTTTCAGTATTGCTTAAGAACGGCTCGAGACTTGCGCTTGCAGGTAAGCTGTGTGTACTGTAATCAACCAGGAACCCTCAGAGCGCCTTTGTTCGTACTAGTTCGTTGTAGCAGAATGAACGACCTGGATTCATCACAACCCTGATATTGCTACTCCTCGGCCGCAGCGATGGCCAAAGCCTGTGTGTGAGACGGCGTGGAATCTGCTGTTACGCAGCTACAGAGCTGTTGACTCATGCTGTTAGTTACTTCATCTTCGCATATTTGTACCTGTGACTGCTGCATCGGAAATCCGTCCACCATGTACCGCTAGCTAGATGAATGGATGGCAGCCTGGCACAGTCGGAGCTTGCGCAGCATGTTTTATGCAGCTCAACACGACTATACCACCGAGTCTCAGGATCATGCCCAGCTCTTGAAACCAGCGGGAATGGGTTTGAAACTAGCTCTAGGCCTCTTGGACTTAGCACACGGTGACACAGCACCATGCACGCACTAAAACTTGTTCAGTTATGCACGGTTCCTTGGCAAAACGAGCATCTATACGCGCCCCGGCTTCAGGACAACAGGTTGGAAAAGCCTGGCAATCCTCCATCTTTGACCGCCCATGACGGTGATGGCCTCTAGTTTTCCCGTGCTTTGCGGTGTCACTTGGAGTTCTATCACCAGAGGGTCCCATTTGGTTAGTAGGTATTTGGCACCCAAAGGCGTTTAGGAATGGCTTGGCGCATGGAGCCGAAGAAGAAACAACCCGAGCCCTTGAGCCTAAAGCCCTAAACAAGTCTTTAACATGAAAAACCGAAACAACACTGAACAACCACGCTTGTGGCCCTTGTGATTACCCCAAACTTCTCTCTCTCTCTCTCTCTCTCTGTCTCCCTCCCTCCCTCCAACTGTGCCTAACTCTCCCCCTAAATAAGCCCTAGCCTACATCATCAAGCTCAATACCCCTCCAGAACCCAGGCAGGTCTTTCGATGGTTGGCCTCGATGCCACGCAATAAGGACGGGTGACCATGGAGCGCATCCTTGGCTGAGGCACCAGGGGTTTCTAATCCCTGAACTCTCAACCCTGAACGCTTTAGGGCACCTAGAATGCCTAGGGCTGAGAATTTTGGGTGTACTCTTTAGGTATTTACTTTATGTTGAGGGGTGTTGTCCTGCTACTTCTGCTGGGTTTCCATCGACGGAACCGGATTCAGCTAAAGGATGTCATCTCGCTCACAGAAAAGCGGGAATATAACATAACTTTCTCCTTATGATTAAACTTGCAATGCTCCATAGCGCCGTAGCAAGACCGTGCGAAAGCCCTAAACCCTAAACCGCTAGTTGCAGGTTTGTTCAATGCTCATCTAGGTCTACGGCTCGAAGCTGAAACCCTACCTGGACCCTGTCAAGCCTATGTACCTCTTCAATTGGGACTCAAACTTATACTTCCCTTGTGTTTGGAAATCTAGTATAAATCCTCTCTCAGGTAGGGTATTCAGGGTTAGGGCAAACAAACCCTGTGCCGATTTTCCGCAGTTCCAAGGAGGCGACCAGAGCCAAGTACTGCTGGTCGCCCTGAAGCGATGGGAGCGGAGATTAACCTCCCCAAATGGTAACTGGATGCTGCAGTAAGCAGCATTGATCAACCCGAACATTTCGGTTCGACAAGGGTTTGGCACGTTGTATGTATGTTCTAAACATATATACATACACAAGTACGTCTGCGTATCTGTCTGTTGACATGTTTCTGCACGTAGCGACGGCGAAATATAGATCATTGCAGATTTTACTGGTTCAAAAAGCTCCTGTGCCACGGCAACAGGATGGCGACCGAGGGCGACCTCAACAGAGAGATATCTATTATATCAACAATTCATCGAACCTCTAGGCTAAATGCAAAGAGAAAGATCAACCAGTCCGTCGGACGCCGATGGGGAGAACTTGCACGGTAATGTGCGCTCGTAGCAGCCTCGAAGGACTTTAAGTTTTCAGCCGAGGACCGCCACTCAGCGCGACCGTGTTTGGGGTTCAGGTCTTGCGCGCTTAGTTGCCGGACCATTTCCAAATCAGCCAGTTGTTGCATCCAATCTGAAACGACGGCCGGAGCTCATCAATGGCAAGGTATCCGACAGCTTTCAGCATACAGGCACAGAAGCTGATGCACCCGACAGTGAAGACTAGGGCGATGGTGATCTTCTCTGATTTCTTGATGCGGTCTTCCAATCCACACTCAATGTTGTCTGCCGCTCGACCATGGAGGAATCTCCAATACAGGACTGCGGGGTAGATCTGTGTCACCCAGGGAATGGTTAGAGCAGTGACGAAATCCACGAGTGTGTCGATGCTGGGAGCGAACGTGCTCAGAAGCACTGCCACAAAGAAGGTGGGCAAGGTGTAGCCCAAGTATCTCAGGATATCTGGCATTGTCCAGGTGTCCTTGAAGTTCGGAGCCCAAGTCTCTTGGCAGAACCGAGCGAGTGGAACTGAGTCCAGCATGTAACACACGAAGTTGCCACCCAGCTGGAAGGCGTTGAAGAGTGTATTGATCACATTCCCGGGGACGAATGCACCTACACCTGTGGTCACTGCGATGACTTCACCGACGTTGTAACCCCAACGGACCACGACGATACTGCCAACGATCCTTGAGATGCAGTTGGGATACACAGGTTGCAGACGTGCGACTCTACACTCACTACTACACGTGACTCCCAAATGCATCCAGGCAGCACGAAGAGTATCACGTTGAGGCCGCCGGCCAGCAGCAGAGACTTTTTGAAGTCTACAGGGTTTGGCATGCAAGTGCTGAGTTCGACGGTGAGGAAGGCGGGAATGAAGGCCCAAGCGTTGATAGTAAAGCCACTGGCAAGTCGTATGAGCCGCAAGCCTGGATCAGGCTCTGGGTTACCAAACCATTGCGCCGGGATTCTGCCAGTGTGCTCATACTGGAAGGCACCCACCACCATGGTAAGGACCATGCCGATGGAGCAAAGAAAAGCAATCGTGGTAAAGACATTAACGTTATCGAAGCTCCGGACCTGTGTAGACAGCAAGCAGATGCCCGCAACGACCCACACGTAGTAATCAATGCAGTCGCCCAGAGGACCCAGGCTGCCGATGGAGTACAAGGATTGGGCGACGAATGAAAGAGCACAGGGCATGAAAAGGCAGAAGTTCCCGAGCTGAATCACATTGCCCCAAATCTGTGCCCACCTGCCAATCACCTCCTTGCCAAGATCTCCCAAGGTCTCGCCTGGGCTTGGGTCATTACGAAATCTCCTTCCTGGATATCTCAGGAGTTCAACAGAGTACTTATGTCAAAGAACAGCCAAGCTGCAGTGCGGGTACAGCAGCTTCATCTCCAGGAGCATGTTAGCTCCCGCCACCGAGGCCCAGGTAAGGATGAGACATAGAATCATGCCGCCGGCGTAGCCGGCATTCGCAATGGCAAAGGGCACGGCCATCACTGCAGAGGGTGCTGCGAAGGTGAAGAGGATGATGCCGGCCGACTTCCATCCCACATGGTGGCCTGGATCTTGCTGCACGAGAGGAGCAGTTCGTGCCTCGCTCTGGTCCATGGCTGCTAGACAGTCTGGCCGAGCTGCGGTCTAAAAAAACTCCACTCTGCGAAAGCCCTCGCCGACAGCACGAGCAGTTCATAAAGCCAGGCAGCATGCAAAGAATGGAACGGTTAGCGACACACAGCAATTTGCCAGAGCAGTGCCACGGAGTTATCACAAGTGACTGTGGCCAGCATCCAGTAGCTTGTCGTGCCTGCTGACTATTATAATGTACACCCAAGGCACCAGGATTACACTCAGAGTTCCTTGTCGTCCACTTCCTCCTCTACTGATAACCCAAAACAGTACATGCTACACAAGAAAGTGGTTTGAATATTGGATAATTTAACAACGAGTTGTGCAACGTATGAAACAAGAAAGTCACGTAACGATTATATACCAAACTCAGAGTATAGCAACACATTCTGTGAAATGTGAAACACAGTATACCTATACAAACACACGTTCTATAACATGTACATATGCATAAAGAACATGACATAACATAACAAACCGTCTACAGTAATATAACATCACATCATATACATTATAGCATATTGATGCATGATGTTCAGTGGGTAGCAAATTAAAAACTATAGCATGATGCAACATGCCATGCTGTAGCACACTTGAAGAGTATTATACTTTACTAGCATAGCATGTATGTAGCATTTAACCCAACATATGGAAAGGCTAAGGTATCATGCGAAATCAAAGTACATATTGAACTTATATATATATATATATGTATACACACACACACCATTAACACGCATGTGTATATATGTACAGTGTATTCTACACCAGATAGCATATACAGCAGAAACACGATGTAAACTATTGGAGAGCAAAACAAGCATGTTTTAACCTAATATAATATGCTTCGACATAACATAACATGAAATGTGTTTGCTATGCTGTGACATACAAAGCGGTAAGGAAATGTGATGTGACATGGTAATCTGTGTTCGAAAACAACAAAAAGAGATGCTAAGATGTAGTGTAATTGAGCATAAGGACACCTGACATGGCATATTAATATGAAAAAGCAATTTCACATGCTATGAACTAGTACAGTACGATACATTATATAGTCGTATGACCTAACACAATAATGACCATATATGTAGTATAATGTGTAGCAAGAAGATGGCATGTATTGCAAACGGGATTGCAAATTACCAATGATACAACCTGGTATGTGGTTTAAGATATCGCACGCTATGGTATATACCGATACCATATAGCATGACATGGTTTGAGGTACACGATACGATACTATTCGATATTGTGCTAGACTTCAGTGTATATATTATAGTTTTGTAAACTGGTGGAATAGGAAAATGATCTGTTCTAATCGTTCTGGCTTGACAAAAAATACTGGAGGTGAGCATGGCGATGGTGATGATGATGCTGATGATGCGGGCAGTGATGCAGATGATGGCTGTCGGTCTTCCTGTCTTCTGCTTACTAGTCCAGCCTTGCTATCGTCAGTATGCTCTCATTTCACCAGAAACTTGTCACTGGTCCTGCCCTGAGACGAGGCACTGCAAGTCGTGCTAGCCAGGCTGTTGTGTCAGCCACGAGTCGAAGCTCCATTGTCGGTAACCTGACAGATTTGCACTTCTGCAGCATACAGCTTTGGGGTTTCAGGGGTTTGAGTTGCTTAAGAGCTTTAGCTGGGGCTTAGCAACCTTAGTGAAAAGGTTTTAGGGTTGTAGTTGTAGAGGCTTTCTATTGGTATGGAACTTGTGGCTTAAGGCTAGGACCTGTTTGGCTTTCAGGTTTGGCTCTCTGGGACATGAAACATGACAGACTTTAAGAGGTTTGGGCTGAACAATTTCTACGCAGACATATACATGCGTCTACGCATACATGCTTACATACATACATAAACACATACAGGCATACGTGCATGCATCCATGCATCCATGCATCCATCCATATCCATACATACATACATACATACATACATACATACATACATACATACACACATACATACATACATACATACATACATGTACAGGCGCATGCACAACCACAACTTTCCGCATTTCTTCACAAGGGCAGCACCTAAGAAGTAGCCTGCATCGAGAGAGGGATGGAGGGAGGGAGACCTTGGGATAAGATGACCTGCTAGGACTTCGCTCAAAGGGGTTTAGGATTTGTGGGATAGAGTGCTCCCTAACATCTTCCACCTCGAAGCCACAATTCCGACGTCCCTGCCTCCGACTTGATATCGCAGCGAGTACCGCTACGCAGTTCGTAGCGCCACCGTGCCGGCCCGGGGCGAAAGGCGTGTCCCGGAGCCTCCGGGAAGTGCAGGAAAACGAACGGCTTCGGTTTGAGGGCTTCGCTGGTAATTAGAGGAAATTGCAGGACTTCTGCTCCGGAACTGTATAACCCCCGTCGCGGACAGAAGTCATCACTCTTGTAAGAACCGAAACCCAAACACCCTAAAGCTTACAACGCAGGACTTCTGCGTTCGAATCGGAGAGTTTAGCTTCGGGGGAACAGTGGAGTGGTCAGAATGGCACGAGGTTTTGTGAGTTGTCGTAGGGTTTGGGGCTGGGGTTTCAGGCTCTAGGGCATGTTCGGGTCTCGGCGCTAACTCTCCGACGAGGCGCTTAGTGCTTTCTTGGGGGGTTTAGGGTGCAGGGTTTAGGGTTAAGGGTGCAGTCATAAATCAAGAGCTCGAGGCTCATGGTCCGAAACTGACGAAGTTAGTGTGAAGTGCCTAGAATCCCTGCGGGTTGTGAGGAATTAGACCAGTGTTTTTAACTGGGAATATTATCACGAATTGTGTGTTAGCTCGTGTCTGACTTGTACCAGTATCTGAACTGACTTGGCCACTGGAGTCTCTTGTCAGCAGCCAAGGGAATCCTCGTGTAGAACAACACACAGATGGCTACTTCCGACTCAAAACTTAACGAACAACATGCAACCTACACAATGGCATATCTTCAGAGAACTCAACGACGAAAGCCTCCTTAAGCAAGAATATGGGACCGCACCTTAAGCCCCTTAAATACGAGGATTCTCTTAACAGAAGGGCCCTCCCAAAGGCCCCCCCCCCCTTCCAACAAGACGAAAGCAAAAGCAAGCTTGATTGTAAGACGCCCTCACATGGCCCGCCCCGTCTGCTCCAAGTAGAGGCTCGTAAGGTTTCTGCGCATCTCTATAAAAATAAAAACCCTAAGCCCCATGCCCCTTACATCCTAACCCCGTGATACATATATATATATATATGTTTATGTATGTATGTATGTATATATATATATATGTATATACATACTAAAAATTCTCTATTCTTTATTCATCTATATATCTATACATATATATATATATATATGTATGTATACAGATATATATATATATGTATATATATATATATATGTATACATAAATTTATATATGGTACGCAGACAAACCCTAAACCCAAAGCTTCTCAAGCCATGAACCGTAAAGCCGATACTGAGCCCTCAACCCTGAACCCTGAAACCCTCAAAAAGATACCTAAGGTTTAGGGTTTAACTTTTGGGGTTTAGGGATTAGGATTTAGGGTTTGGGGTTTAGGGATTAGGGTTTAGGGTTTGGGGACTAGGGTTTAGGGTTTAGGTAAACCCTGAAGGCCCTGTGAACCGAGGACTCAACCGGTAGAGGCTGTGAGCGGCCACAGCCAAGGAAACGTCATCCAGCCGTTCTTCGTGGATCAAGCCTTGTAGAGGCGTTTCGTACTTCGGGTTTATAGCGAATCCCAGACGGTTGACACTTCTAAGTGAAGATGTTTTTTTTTTCTAGGGGTGCGGGCTTGATAGGGCTTAATGTGGTTTTGTACGCTACAAATGAGCTTGTCACTGAATGTTTTTTCACGTTCTAACGTAGGTGTTTGGGTTAAGGCTGACTTTCGGGGTCCAGGGCGTTCACACATTTAAGGGTTCGAGGGGGGGGGGGGGGTCGAAACATAGCTTTCTGTTCGCACTTAGGATGTTTGTTTTCGTCAGCACTTTCCTCAAGATCGGGGCCTAAGCCCCCTTAAACCCTAAACCCCTAAACCCTCCACCGCAACCCTAGCTAAAGTCTGGGTTGCTGCTTGCCTTCAGTGCGGGGTTGCTGACCTGGACCTTCGGCAACGCGAGGATTCGTATACTACCTATAGTCTCCATTGTAGTTCCTTTTTTTGGTTTAACCAAATATATATTAAGGATTTTATAAGGTATCCCCAAAAAGGAACTACAATGGAGACTACAGGTAGGGGCCCTTCTGGTGTGTCCGCTACAGTAAGGACCTGACTATGTAGGGTCTGTAGGTTGAGGGCTCTTTTTGCGACGACTGATTCGGTGAAGAATTGCGCAGTGTGCAAAACACTTAGGGCACCAGCCCTGAACAACTTCTCCCGCACACCAGGGCGAATTCCGTTGATGTGTCCGAGTAGCGGAAGGTCTCTTCAAGCAGCTTCGCCCATGCCTCGAAAAACTCTAAACCCTAAACCGTGAATCATTCCGTTATCTCTAATCTATTAAGGCCCGGTGTAGGGTTTCGTGCTCAATTTACTTTATGTACGTATGGGTGTGCTTCTACAGGACTGCTCATGCGGTTGCTTCCTAGGCTGTGAGCGGCGCCAGTTGCTTTCCGCGAAAGTTGACGTTGCCACAGTGGTCGCTGGTGTTGTAGATAATGCAGTCGCTGAGTTGGCATTTCTATCACTGTTGCAACAGAAGAAGGCACAGCATCAGCAGCAACAAGGCAGCAACAACAGCAGCAGCCGCCGCAGCAGCAGCACCAGGAGGAGTAGTAGTAGCAGTAGGACGAGGAGGAGGAGCAGAAGTTGGAATAGTATCGACTTTGTCGCATCGCGTGTAGTATTTATTGCAAGTTCGGCTCGGAATTAGGGCTGAAGCCGTTTCAACAGGGATCCTTAACACACCGACCTTCCCAGCAGACCTTTGAATTTCAAAGCTTCGTGGGTCCGGAAGTTGACTGTGAATGTTCGGGGTTGAGGCGATTCCCTGAAACCCTTGAACCCTAAACCCGAAACCCTACAATGCCTCCGTGGTGAGCGATGGGCCCAGGGTGGCCGCGAGGCTCCACGCCTCCCAAAATAGGCGCACCGATGATGACATCCTAACCGTAGATTGGTAATTTTTAGTCCTAAAATACCGATTTGGGGTATATTGAACCCGGAACCCCCCAAAACCCAATAGAACTATTGAACCCGGAACCCCCAAAACCCAATAGAACTAATGAACCCCCAAAACCCAAAAACCAATAGAACTCACACCTGGAACCCTTCGGGCCGCTAAAATTCAAAGCCCCCCCATGGTAGAAACCGGACAAAAACCCTAAACCCTAAACCCTAAACCCTAAACCCCCCATGGTAGAAACCGGACAAAAACCTTTTGAGAGGGAACCCGAGGGTTCCTCCTTCCGACAAGAGCTTACAGTCTCAGCTTTAAAGGCTCTTTCCCTAGGGTTTAGGGTTTAGAGCTTACAGTCTCAGCTTTAGGGTTTATTCCTAGGGTTTAGGGTTTAGGGTTTACAGTCTCAGCTTTAGGGTTTTGGGGCTTAGGGTTTAGGGCAAAAGTTCGAAACCTCTGAATCCTAACCCCTTCCTATACAGCCAGGCTATTTGGGGTTGAGGTGCGCTGGCCTACAAGAATAAAGGGGTCAAAACTAAGGCCCCGCACTTTGCATTCTCCTTTGCAGTCGCATCTAGGGTGTAGAGCTTTGGCTTTGCAAGAACTTAGGATTGTTAACAAGAGTGCAGTCTGACATGCTATGGTAGGCTCAGATGCTTCTTCCGTACCTTTCAAACACATGAAATCGGGGTTTTACTCCTAGCATGCACAAGAAAAATTGCCAAGGAGCCCGAAACTCACCAAACGCCCCAGCGTAGACACACTGCAGAAGTCCAAAAAATCGGGCTAGCACGGGCAAAACTCATCGGGATGTGCCTGCAGCACGACCGGCTTCCTTCTGCTCTTGTCCAAAATCCCGAATGCAGAGCTCCAAGCAATCCGTCATGATCTAGTCATGATACATGGGTAGCTGTCAAAATGATGGTCCCTTTTGGGGTCCTTATTATAATACGGCACCTAGTATTTAGGGTACCCCAAAAGGCACCATAATTTTGACAACTACCCACATGTCCCCTAGTCTTTCCTGCAGCCGCATGGTTTTGCAAGCACAGTGCACCGGAGCCACAGCCGGGGTCCTGTATGGGAATTGGAACATGTCGATCTGAATCATTTCTCATGATGCCCGAACCCCAGTAGCCCACAGATTTAAGAACGCTCTCGAGCTAAAACACTCCGAATCCTTGGAAACCCCTATAACCTGAACCCTCAGCCAACACCACTGTGAAAAAAAGCCCTGGCAGGATCTTCGTAAGGCCCTACCTAAAGTCAGAGGGTCATCCCTAAACCCAATCCTTGAATGTAGTATGGGGGCCTAAATGATGACCAATACCGGGCTCCTTACTAGAATTATGGTAGAATAAACATCCAAACCCGACTCTAATTATTAAGGCCCATATATTATACTATCATGATTCATAAGGAAGCCGCCAAAATAGTATAGGTAGTTATGAAGGCCCCTGTGTTACACCTTGAAGCCTTCAAGCCCCACCGTCTTATGCCCATGCCCGGACTTTAACACCGAAGCTTTAAGCAACAAAGCCACCCTAAACCCTAAACCCTAAACCCTAAAACCCTAAACCCTAACCCAACCTTGAAGCCCCAAGATAGGGTCCTTATGGCTGTACTACGGAACCCTCAGGAAGAGAGTACCTTCGGGTCCTAAATACTACGGCAACCTTGTAAAATAACACCCTAAAAGGGACCCGAATTTAGAGAACCACCCATATTGCGAGCCCTTTAAAGGACCCCTTGTAGTTCCTTTGAAGGAACCCACTAGTGGTTCAGGCTTGGAGATTAGGGGGTTTTCCGAAAATAGGGGACCCTAAAATTTGCACGCTAAACAGTAGGATCCTTTGTATAAGGACCTCAGAATACGGCACTCCTAAACCCTAAACCCCTAATTTTCGGAGATTGAGTTCCAAGCCTTTGTGAGCTGCTTCGGACCAAAGATGTCCTTCTCACCTCCTGGAGACGTGATTCTTGTCACTGCTGCAATTATTTTCTTGATATAATCACCGCCACCACCACGACGACGACTACTACTAGTACTAGCACTAGTACTGGCACTAGCACTAGCACTAGCACTAGCACTAGTACTAGTACTAGTACTTCTG